CACCGCCTTCTGCTACAGCCAAATATTTCACATTTTCACTCATCAGTCCAGAGCACCTGCTGCCATTTTTCTGCACCCCAGCAGTTCCTATGTTTTTTTGCCATTGTTGTTAAGTAAAGCCTAGTTCCCACGTCGGAGGTATGGCTTTTTGGCTGCAACTCTTCCATGAAGACCACTTCTGGCCAGACCTCTCCGGACAGTAGATGGGAGTACCTGGCTCCCACTGCAGTTGTTAAGAGAATCATGCAGTCATTAAATGAATCTGGCTACCCAGACTTTGCATGTCAGAAGCTGGCTGGGAAGATCATAAATGGATGCTGGGATGTTGCAACTAACTGTTGTAAATATGTGCCAACTGCTCAAATTTTGATCAAGTGATCTTGGGGATGCTGCCATAGTCATAAAATAATGACTAGTCATGAGTCACTTTTTTCAGTGTCATTGTAACTTCAAACAGTCACTAAATGAATAGAGGTAAGTTGAGGACTACCTATGGTGAGGTTTTATAGTATTATCCTGCAAAGTGAAGACCTTCCTGTTATGGCTTGATTTTTGTTGTTCCTCCTTTTGTTGTTCCTCCTTGATAGGAGCTAACAATAAACAACAGGCTAATCAAGGAATCACTAAGAACACTCCTACGAAGGCTGACAGGGTAAGCCACTAGTATATAAGAAGGGAGCAAGTGCTACTCCTCTCTAGCACTGATGATATTACCAAGCTGGGTAATGAAATGTCTGCAAGAAAACAACAAAGCTGAGAGAGCACTGAGGACCCCACAGTAAGATGGGTATCTTCATCCAACATTTGTGGATTCAATCATGATTAAGGCAAAACTTGGCTTAGTACAATGTCTGAATCTAGGTAGAATCTTTATTTCAGCTAATTTCATTATAATCATTATTACAATTTCTGACAAGGATATGGAAGAGATGAGATCTAAATAGATGCTAGGAAATTGTCTGACTTCTTAGCCATCAATTTACATAATTTTGGGGTGAGGACCTTGAAAGCACAATAATATGCATAAACAGTCACCCTTACCTTATTGATATTAAAGTAAAGCAGGTTCATGACAAACATATTAATAGTATGATGGCATATAACCACATTTCTTTGGCTGGAAATAATGGTATAGAACCTGAACACTAAATTGGAGAAGGCTATATTATATATTATAGATACATATACTATATATACTGTATATACACACACATTATTAAATAACAGTAGGCAGCCTTAATATCTTTATGTTCCTGGTCCACTTAGGTTTTGATAGATCACTAGTATAGAAATAACACTTTCCACTGAGAATAAATAGCTTTTCCTAATAGTCAGGATCTCAGTCATTTCTCAGAACAAAAACCTCAGGTGTACCTGGATCTAGTAGGAGTGAAATTTCTTTCTGCAGCTGATTGTTCCAGGTCGTCGAGCAATTCCACTGAAACATAGATCAACAGTTCCTATTAAGGATTTCAAGTTCAACCATGAACTGTACTTAATAACCAGATGAGATAAGTTAAAAGTGAATACCGACACAATGACAAGTGAACCTGCCAGGATTAGGGCATGATAGAAAATCAAGTAGCAACAAGCTATAAAATGTCCATGTTACATAACACAACAGGATTACATAATGTTACCTGCAAACTTTATGCAAATAGAATATAGGCTACAATGGTTATTGTAGTTAACTAAGTTAACTCTCCTAAAACCATTTTTGGTTCTGTTGTCAAAGAAGCTCATATTACACAATTCACATATTTGCAATAGCAACTTGTTTTAAGATCTTCCAAATTCAGAAGAGTACACCTCGGAACTTTTCAAAGTTTTGAGATTAGAAATAGCAGAGAGGGAGAAGAACAAGCAAACATGGTTCTGAAAATCTATATGCAGGTAATTTATAATGTTCAGAGCATTTTATGCAGCTTATATATTCAAATAATATACAGTCCCAAATATTTTTCCAAATAAACTGGTTCTTACTTTATTAGCACAGATAGGATTAAAATGCGAAGAAAAAGACTAACAATTATAACTCAGGACACTTCACACCACTACTATTATGACCCCTAATTAGAACATTGAACATAGAATTCCAGGATTGGAAGGGGCCTTGGAGGTCTTCTAGTCCAACCCCTTGCTCAAGCAAGCAACCATTGCAGACAAATGGCTGTGCAGTCTGTTCTTGAAATCCTACCAGCTGATCTGAACAAGAAAAAAAAGTCTCTCTCCCACCTTCAGCTGCTGCAGTCCAACAGCGAAGCTCTTTTCACTCCTATGTCATCTAAAAAGAAAAGATACCCCCTTCCCCACCTGAGAGTCCTGGGGCTTTGCATGTTTGATCTAGGCTACAAAATCCAAAACCAGGATTTCCTTTTGAGGATCAGAAGCCAGAAGACGAATTGAAAGATGAGACAAGAGTTCCATATCATGTGAGAAATAGATCTTAAGCAAAAAGAAAAAGAGCTTTACAGCAGTTTTAGAAACTATATAGGTAGTCCTTGATTTACAACAGTTCATTTAGTGACTGTTAAAAGTTACAACAGCATTGTGCTTTTCATACTTACTGTTTAAAGTTATGATGGTCATAAGTACGTTTTTCATACTTACTACTGTTGCAGCATTCCTCATGGTCACAATTCAGATGTTTAGCAACTGACTCATATTTATGACAGTTGCAGTGTACTGAGAGTCATATAATCACCTTTTGTGACCTTCTGACAAGCAAAGTCAATGAAGAAGCCAGATTCACTTAACAACTGCAGCAGGGGTGGGATTCTACCGGTTCAGACAAACCGATAGCTCTGACAATCAGCTGGGAGAGAACTGGTTCACTCCGACGATCAGGTGGGCCCTCCCTCCCTCCCCTGCGCTATACTGAGCTATAGCTTCTCAGCTGATTTGCGCAGCAGAGCAGATTGCCACACCTCACCTGTGTTACTCCACAGCAGTAAAATGGAAGGTAACTATTCGTATCTTCACCACATTTTATAATAGCGCACGAAGCGCATGATCACCGAACCAGTTGTTAAAGTGGCAGGATCCCACCACTGAACTGCAGTAATTTGCTTAATAACAGTGGCAATAAAAGTTATAAAATGGGGAGAAACTCACCTAACAACTCTTTTGCTTAGCAATAGAAAATTTGGGTTCATTTATGATGCCAAGTTGAGAACTACCTGTAATGCAGTTAATTTTGAAAAGAACACATGAAGGGCATGTGGAAAATGCCCTTAGCTTGCATTGTATTAGATCAAATTGCTTTGTTTGAGGTTTGCTTTCAAATCCTGTTCATCTGTGAACATTTTGCTTTAAAGGAAAAGGAAGATTAACTGGGTCTCAATAAACTTTAGAAATAATGTGTGTAAAATATTGGAATTTACCCAACATTCCTACTATAGTCTTACAAAGTATTTTGTGAAAACTGAATGATTATGTCTATAGATTCCAATGGATCCAAAATATTTTATATGTAATTAATTTATAAATAGAACCCAATTCAATAAAATCAAAGCAATAGAATTGCTATATTTCTTAATAAATAGTTTTACAGTTAATTCATTTCATTGTTGTTTTGTAAGGCTTAAAATCAAATCAAAGATCTAATGAAAATACATTTTAAAATATATTTAAAACTTATTTCATACTTCAGTCAGTGTCAAATATATTGTAAATATCATGGTCAGCTGGAAATTTGAGATTAAAAAGACACTCCCTAATTAATATGAAGTCCTGAAAATATCAGTTAACATTACATTAAATATCAAACTTTTTTGAATGTAATTGTAAAATATTCTCACCATTAACAATTTCATGGCCAAAGAACCTCTTTATTCCTGGTACATTTCTGCCATTTTCCAAATTCTTAACTGAAAGAAACAAACAGAATAAATATCATTCTGTTTAGATAAACAAAAAATTCGGTTTAATACTAAAATTTAGAACCAATTCTAAATTGGTTAGAATAAACCAATTCTAAGAATAATAAAATATTTCAATATTGTAATACAGTTTGGTATTAGGATGTGAGAATACTCAGAAATAGTTATTTCCTCTATAAATAGTTATGTATAGTTATAACTTATTCAGAAATAGTAAGTTCCCTTCCATGAGCCTCTGTTCTTTAATTAATTAAATATACACTAATATTACTTTTGATAAAGCTGATGAAATGGAGGGTCATCCATTGAAATTAAATATGAGGAGATCTAGATCAGGGCTGTCAAACTTGCGGCCTGCAGCCCAGATGCGTCATGCACTGGCCACGTCCATACCTGGTTTAGCAAAGGGGGAAAAGTTGTGATACGTCATGGGACGCTGCGAGTTTGGCACCCCTGTTCTAGACCAATAGGTAGTAGCACATCTTCACGCAAAGCATGGTTAATCCAAAGAATTCACTGCATCAGATATGATAATGATCACCAATTTAGATTGCTTTTAAAAAAGGGTTTGATACTTTAAGGAGAATAGCGGCCCAACAATTTATGATAAAATGTAAGTACCATTCTGTAAATACCAGCAACAATGATAAAATGCTGTTACCATCTGTTCTGCTTGAAATATTCCCAAAGTGATTCAATTGGTTACTTTATATTAGTAGGTAATTTGGCTTGATTCTTCAGGGTATGTGTAGGTGGGTGGATTGTCAGGTTTTATCGTGTTAAAAGTATAGTAGTGAATAATATGAACTCCACTTTTAATATTTTAAAGTTCTAAACAGCACTTGCGGGTCTCCCTGGAATTTCAAATATTGATAGATTAATCCAGAAATACTTGTGGAAAAGTGCAATACTGTGTAACTCTTGACTTGAATGTTGGTCCGTTATATTTGCCTTTGCTGTCACAGAATCAGTGGAATTTAATGTGCTTGAAGCTTCAGAAAAGCAGGCTGCAATTTGCACACCAAATACATCAAAAGGTATGATACTGTATGCATCAATTTAAGTTATCTGAAGGACCGCCTCTTCCATATAAATAGTCTTCATCTGTTAGGGATTATGTTGGAAAGAACCTTCCTTGCCTCTGAAATGTGGTTCTACCACAAAACCGCGGACGACAAAATCGCGGTCGACAAAAGCGCGTATGTGACGTCATCACAGCGCGACGAAAAAGATCGAAAAAGATCGAAAAATGTAAAAATAAAGCTAAAACCTTCCCCAACCCCCCAAACCTAACCCTAAACCTAACCCTTAACCTAACCCTAAACCTAACCCTTAACGTAACGAAAAACCTAACGCTAACCCTTAACCTAACGCTAAACGTAACGCTAACGCTCTAACCCTAACCCTAACCCTTAACCTAACCCTTACCTTTATGTGAATCGGCTTGCTGTAATTTAATTTTTATTTCAATTTTTCGATCTTTTTCGTCGCGTTGTGATGACGTCACATACGCGATTTCGTCGACCGCGCTTTTGTGGAACGCGCTTTTGACGGGTCACGCTGAAATGTGACAGATGAAGTCTGAATTGCACTAATAAATCAAATAGCTTCTGGCCCTAAAACTATAAAACATCTTGCTAGATTTTATTTTCAAGCACATTTAATCATTATATTTGTAGTGAGAAAAACCCAGTGTTATTTCAAGCTTATTATTTATTTACATATTACTCTTCCTTAGAAGCCTCAAAATAGTTAAGCATAAAATATTTGTAAATAAAGCCTAAAAACCTAAAAAGCAGAAAAGATAGAAAAATTAAAACAAGGTTAATAATTAAAAAACATTTAAAAAGTATTTAACATAATTATAGAATTTTCTTTTAATCTGAAGAATTGACACTTATTAGGTTTTATATATTTATTTTATACATGCTTTAAAATACATACGGTATTTACTATTAAGTACCTTGAAAGTTCAGCTATCAAGTAGGATATACATTAAAAAATTGCTTGGACTCACTCACATTTTCATTGTTAAAGCAAAACACACTCATCAAAAAAATCGCGTTTTTATAGTACTTCTCTTTTCCAGCAAACTAAATCCTGTAATTAAAAAAAGGCTTAAGTTGGCACACAAAGTGCTGCAGGAGGGGCTCTTTATACTGTATTATATTGTATGTAATGACTCATTTCTATCAGGGTGTGAAGTTAGTACTTTGGAACGTATCAATAGATGGTCATTATTGAGTAATTTAGATGGCACAGATATTAGCCTCTTTCTGCAATTTAAAATCTGAGTGTATTTTATTTCTTAGGTTCTGTTGAAATTCAGTCTTACAAGTACATAGTAATGACTTATTTACTTACTCTTGCACAAGATACATATTGACTAAGGATTAATATGTGAAATATAGAAAGAAATCTCAAGCCATTTGCACTCCAATGTGCCACTAATAAATTTATCATAGTGAGTTACAAAAGTGTAACTTGAAAAAACTGATATGAACATTTTAAATAATTAAATGAATTATATTATGAAGCATTAATGAACATTAAGTAAGGAGTTATTTGAATGTAATCAGGCCGATAACAGTCAGATGCAGGGAGAAATTTTCAATGGACCCAGAAGGGTAACTATTACTAACGTGTTAGCATTGAGGGAGATGTATTACAATGATGGAATGTTGCTAATATAAAGACACACATTTGAGGGATGAATTAGTGACAATACTTTGTTGTTGTTGTTCTTAGTTGAGAAGTCATGTCTGACCCATTGTGACCCCACGGACAACGTTCCTCCAGGCCTTTCTATCCTCTACCATCCTCAGGAGTCCAATTAAGCTCATGCTGACTTCTTCAGTGACTCTGTCGAGCCACCTCATTCTCTGTCACCCCTTCTTCTTTTGCTCTCAATTATTCCCAGCATTAGGTTCTTCTCCAGTGAGTCCTTCCTTCTCATTAGGTGGCCAAAGTATTTGAGTTAGTGACAATACTAGGAGACCGTAATAACTATTTAGCACTGAGAAGTTTCTAGAAGTTCATGTAACTTATTTTGGTTGATCATAGATGGGTTATGCTACAAAAGATTAACGAAGCTAACTTTTCAGCTTGTTGGTGTTTAAGGTTGTCCAATATTTCAAGTCCAACTCCCCTGTTAGGAAGAATAAGCTTGATCATAACTCATCAAATTCTTTTGCTGATTATCCTACATCAAATGTTCATAAAAATTACAGCTAACAAATTATTAAGAAAAGAGAGGAATGTTGCTTTGCTACTATATCTGCCAAGAACTCACACCACAAGTATGAGAGCTTCGAGTACTGGAGTTATTCATTTCCTTCTCAAATTTCAAGTTTCTCTAAATTGAAGTTGCAATTCAGTCCAGCATTTTTGACTTTCACAGCCAATCCAGATTTGAACTTTTAAACAAATTTTAGAGAAAAATGTTTGGAGCTTGATCTTTAAGAAATAACATTAAATCAAATGTTTTGAAAAATGAGACACTAATGTTGGGAATTCAGCGATGGGGTGGGGAGATGTAATTTCAAATATATTTTCATACTTCAGCTTTTTGATAATCTGTGATCAAACTATGTTTTTATTCCACAAAACAATCTAGAATAATACCTTATTATTTAGAAATTAGTCATGTTGGTAGAGAAAATGAATCAAACCCCACTACAATCTTCAGTATAAATGCACTGAATTTAAAAAGAGCAGCAATACCTCTGTTTAGAAAGATACACTGACTGGAATCCACATGTTGCAATATCCCCTGGAATATGCCACATTTCAATGTGATGTGTACAGTTTTCCCCAAAACACGGTGAAGAAAGTGGTAATCACAGCTAGGATCCATTATGTTTTTTTTTTCTCTCAGAGGAATTGGGCATTCAGTCTAAAAACAACAACAAAAGATAAATCTTTTGTTATTTATAGAAGTATATAAAAATGCATTAAGTAGATTATAAAATTAAAACCTTTTCTCAGTGAAACATAAAGTTTAATCACTTAGAAATAAATTATACATTGTCTGGCTTCTAATTAATCACAAGCCCACATAATTAAACAATCATAGAAATGCAGACTAATAAGTGACCTGGAATGATCTTGCATACAAAATTCATTATAAAAATAGAAAAGGCTACTCAAATAAATCCTCAATGAATGATACAGCCGAAGTAAAAAATCTAGGTTCATATGATAATGATTATAGATCCAGGATAATTGGGAAAAAACCAATTTCATTATTTAAGAAAAGCCAATGTCTTCGATTTTTAACAAAAAATATGAGTTCCTGGACATGTGCTTTGTCTGAGCTAGAAACAAACCTATACAGGTATTCAATTTATAACTTGGGACTAGAAATCTATCTTGACTTAGAGCCATAACAACTTACAATTGGATTTCCAGTCTCAAATTATTTACCCCTGTTGAAAAGACTATTTTAAATGTTAAGAAATGCCATATAGTAGCAAACTACTTCAAATTAGGTGATGATAGCTGTTTAATCATTGTTTTATGCCTCGCCAGTGCTGTTTTGCTTCCAGGTCCAATTCAAGGTGTTAGTTATCACCTTTAAAATTCTGGCATAAGGTGGTTACTTGAAGAACTGTCTTACCCCAATTACATCGACCTGGGAGATCAGTCTGTAAAGATACTATGGTTTATAAATTAATCTATTCTCTCTTTTCCCTCTTACTGGGGTGAAAACTATCAGCACATGGACTAAGTCCAGTTCACTGTCCAAATTCATTTACTCATAAATACTCCTTTCATGTTGATATCCCAAGGAGGAAACCTTCCTTGACAGTGCCAAATAGCTTCTGGCAGTGTTGCCTTATTATTGGCTCTCAATATGGATGAAGTAGGCAGCAGAGTCCTCTTCTTCCTTCTCAATGAGCATTTCCCTCTTCGCTTCCCTACTGCTTTGCTTGTCTTCATTTTTCACTATTCTGGGCTGCATCTAGATTTGCATTCTATGAATCAGAAGCAAACTTAATATATTGTTACTCTCGTCTAGACTATTTGTAGAATATACATACATACTGTTTATAGACTATACTGTAATATACTGCGCTGTTCAAGACACAGAGAGATAGATAGACAATATACTGTAAGCAATACAGTACAGTACAATAGTATACTATAAGCAACACACACACACACTACTCTATTTTGTTTATAGACTGTTATTTTATTCTATACCGCTTATTCAAAGAAACAAAATATGGTTGCTTCTCATATCTATATAAGCTAAAATGAAGACCAGACATTCATCACCCCTTCAGCTGAAGAAATGGTGAAAATAGACCGTCATGCAATGTCTCTCTCATTTGTTGGTACCAATTCTATTATTTACACTGCCCCTGTCCTCTTTGGTTCCTGAAAAGACTTTGCGTTCTTCCTCTGGTGCCTTGTTTCTTTCTCTTCAGAGTTTCCTATATGGCAATCAGCTGCTTCACAGCTTTCTTTTCAAATTTAACACTAAATATTACAAACTGAGAATATGAATTTATATTTTCCAAAAATTCACTATTATTATATATTTAAATCCCACAGATATGGGGTTTAAGAAGCCGCAGAGAGCACAACTTTCAAGACTCAAGTTAGGCCACAGCATTTATGAAAACTCAAGTCTGAAGTTGATAAATATAACTGAGTATGAGTCGCTTTTACGTGTTTAGTTTTCTTTTTAAGTTCATGATGCTTCAAAGTTCCAAGTAAACAACAACATATAAAAGTTATTATACATATTGCCTTTTTTTGGCAATCTGTAATTGCATAATTTGATGTTGATTAGTAAAACATGTTTCCCTCTTCATTTAAAGCCACTAATAAAATATCTAAAAGATAAAAAGCTAAAAATATTTGAACTATGTTATCATAGAAAATTTGAGTACACCTTAAAAATGGAGAGATAAATCTTCTACAGAAACTCAGACCAATTCTTCCCACTTAATAGAATTAAACGTTTAAGCAATGTTATCACATCTAACTCAATTACCATGAAAAGCAGCATCATGATTATCTCTGAATTTTTCAACATAAGTAGATCTCTCCCCTAGATTTTAAAACTTACATATACATGCAGAACATCTAATTCAACCAGTGTAGCTAGTTTCTTGATCCCTCAGGCAGGCCTGAAAGATAGTTAACTTTATGGATGGTCTATTTTTTTTCCCAAAGGTTTGCCATTCCATTTAAATCAGTTCTGTAAACAATGAGAAACCATCTTTCAAAACACGAAGTTGTTGATTTTTCAGTGTTTTCTTTTGACTTAAAAACCTGGTCAATTTAAATGGTAGGTTTTTTTTTGGACACAACTACTGCTCTGAAACTAGAAAATAAAACAGTAAAAAATGTAAAGACACCAAAAAACCCAAAATATAGAACTTTACACAGTAAGGCTGAGCTACAAGAGTACAAGTCTCTCATCTGGACTCAATTTAAATATATATATAAATGTATGTATGTATACTGGGTGTGTATGTGTATACTGTACTTATTTACTATAAAACCAAAACAAAAAAATAAAACAAAAAGTAGGATACTTTATCAAATCAATAATAGTTAAGTCACAAAAGATACAAAGCATACATCTAACTTACTTAGATGTTTTGTATCGCATATATAAAATAAATTAAAACAGATTCATGTAGGCAAAGCTTTCAAATGTGTATAATTGAGTAATGAACTGATTATATGATACTGGATTATCTTATTTGGATTATCCCTTAACTGAAAGACATTTATGACTGACTGTCTTATCCGTGTATGACATGGACCATTTGATGCACTCTGATACCTCTATTTCCATGAAAGTAAAAGCCTATTTAAACTGTAGTGTCACTGTACGCTGGTTTGTGTGTTCTCCAACACAACTCTCACAATGCTTCGCTGAACGTACTCGCTCTCCTAATGGGGAGCTTACCTAACAATGCAGGTAGATAGGTAGAAATTCAAAAAAAATCCCTACCTTTTTCTGTAGGCGTGGCTAGGTGGGGGGGGGGTCATATGATTGAATGTCCGTGGCCATGAGTGATGTCAAGTTGGCCATGCCACTCAATTACATGACCTCCACACCTAGCCACACCCACAGAACTGGAAGAGAAAAATTTTGAAACCTACCACTGGCCTGCATCCAGTTTCAAAAGGAAAAGGTACAGGTAGTCATTGATTTATGGCCATAATTGAGCCCAGAATTTCTGTTGCTAAACAAGAGAGTTAAGTGAGTTTTGCCCCATTATACAACCATTCTCGCCACAATTAAGTGAATCACTGCACTTGTTAACTTAGTAACATGGTTAAGTGATTCTGGTTTCACCATTGGTTGTCAGAAGGTCATAAAAGATGATCACATGAACCCAGGACACTGCAGCCATCATAAATATGAGTCTGTTGCCAAGATCACATGACAATAGGAATGCTGTAACAATCATAAAGTGTGAAAAATGGCCATGTCACTTTTTTCACTGCTGTTGTAACATTGAACAGTCACTAGCAAATTGTTTCAAGTTGAGGATGACTTCTTTTTCTTGTGCCATATCCATCATCAGATGTTTGCAATCCTATTTTTGTCAGCAGCCGCATGAAAAAGTGCTGCCGAGTTTTGTCCAAACCTTAGGTTTTGAAGCCATGATGTTCTTCTTCTGCCTGGACCTCATTTGCCTTCAATCTTTCCCTGGAGGATTAAGTGAGGAATGCTGTATTTTTCTGGATGTCGCATCACATGTCCAAAATATTCTGTACAAGAACTTGAATGCTGAATAGGGCATCTCACGTACCAAGATTGTTTCTGAAACTAAATTGTGTATTACTTAGACATTCCTCAATTTTGTAGTATGTTCTTATGTGAATTCTTTTGAATTCTGTATTTTCAGGGCATGACTCATTAAGCTTATTCGGTACACTTCTTTGCATTCATTTTTTAGGGAGACTGTCACAAAGGTTGACTTTAGCTAATCATTTGGTATCTTTCCTGTTTCATATATTTGACTGAAGAGCTCCAGTAAAATTTTCTTCCCATTGTCTTCTAGCAGTTTAAAAATTTCTACTGGGAAATCATCAGGTCCTGTGGCTTTTCTTGTTTTTTGCTATTTTTATTGCGTAGTCAACCTCCTCCACAGTAATATTTGGTCCAGTTGTTATACTTCCTATATCAATATCATCCCGTGTCCTCAAAAAGTTCTTCAATATATTTCTTCCATCTTTTTAGTTTTTCATACAAGATGATTTCCCCCTCCTCATCAACCAAGTCCGGAGTCCGGACAACTGCTGCTTCTTTCACTTTTTATAATTCACAAAATTATCATGAATACGTTCTGTCTCTTCTATTTCTTTGCACCTCTTTGCGAATCACTTTTCTTTTGCCAGTCGAATTTTTTTTCTAATTGTTTTCTGCAATGCATTGTATTCTTTGTTTTTATTTTTAAAAGAGTGTCTTTCATCCATGAGATGAAGAATTTCATCCATCATCCAGTGTTGTTTCTTGTGGTATCTCTCTCTGTTTTGAGTTTGTTACCTCTATTATTGCATTTTAAATTTATTTTGATTTACTTCTACATCTTCATTATTTAGATTATTGGTTTCTCTTAAATGAATTTCTAGCTCTTCTTTTATCTTATCTCCATGATTAATGATGAAGTTACTATCAATTCTTGGTTTAGGAGGATTTGGGTTTCTCATCTTTATTGTTTTCAGCTGGACTTCGGCAAGTAGTAGATTATGATCGGATGGTACATCTGCACCTGGGTATGTCTTTGCTGATTTTACTGAGTTTCTAAACCTTTTTAAATTGTAAAATAGTCAATTTTGTTCCTTACTATATTATTTCGTGCATCTGGCAGTGATCTCCAAGTGTAGAGGCGTCTTTTTGGTAACTTAAAGAAAGTATTCATCACATATTGCCTATGTTCCTTGCAGAAGTCTTCAAATCTGTATTTCTGGTTCCTAAGCCAAAATTTCCAACTACAGGAGCATCACTTCTTTCACCCACTTTTGCATTGAAGTCCCCCATGAGTATTGTGATATCATTACTTTTTAGGGTTTTCAGTACACTGCTTATATCTTCATAGAACTTCTCTAAATCTTCCTCATCACTGTCAGCTGTGGGAGCCTAAACTTGCATAACATTCATATTTACTGGGGTACTGTTTATTTGGATCATCATCCCTCTATCAGACACAGTAATAAAGGACCTGATGCATTCATTTACAAGATTGTTTACTATTATAGCTACTCCAGTTGAGGACTACCTACACTAAACAGGGAGGGGGAGAGGGAGGGAGGGAGGGAGGGACTGGGCCAGAGTGACCCAGCTGTCTTTATGCCATTGGTAGAACTAGAACTCATAGTCTGCCACTTATTAGCCCAATGTCACTAAAACCAGCTGGCTGTCAATAAAGATTGCCAAAGACTCTTATTAAAGCTGAAAGTAATTCCCCCTAAATACTTAACAAGTTTAGGAAAGCCTTTGTAGGAAAACCTTTAGCCTGCTTTTTTAGAAAGCAAGTTCATCTAGGACATAAATTACACCACCAAAGTTGATTTTTTTCCCCCTTCACGCCCGGAAACATATATGGACAAGCCATATACTGCATTTTTGCCGGCAGCAGATAGGCCGCCGGAATAAAGCGGACAACCATAAAAATGCTTTAAGAGCCCGCAACTACAATCATCACAATACTATCCTGTACTGTAAGGAGAAGGACGCAGTAATAAAAAAAACCGCATATCACCACATTAGGAGCCAAGGAAAAACCCCAATATAATCGTTTAAAGGGGTCAAAGCCAACTTGACCTAAGACCTAAGGGACGTATAACCGGCGCTGTGCTCCGTACTCCGTAGTTTTCGGGGACAAGAGTGAGAGAATCGCTCGCGCGATGACGCCAGAACGGAGCTCGAGGGTGAGACGGAGAACAACGACCCGAAACGCGAGCGTCTCCCTCTGCGCAGAAGCAACGGTAGAGAGGCGGGGCGGGAAGTGGGCGGGGAAGCCGTGGATGATAAAGAGGAGGGTGGGGGAAAGGGCGTCGCGCGTTCCTGTCAGTTGCATAGCCGAGAGCTCGCGCGACGTCCGCGCAGCTGATTGGTCCCGGCGCCGGCTCTAGGCCAAGCGACTGGAGCTTCCCTTTGACGGGTCGTGAAGCGGCTGCGATGGGCTCTCGGGCGTCTACGCTGCTTAGGGACGAGGAGATCGAGGAGATCAAGAAGGAGACGGGCTGTGAGTACCGATTAGAAACGATGAGCGGCGGCAACGTCGTCAGAGGCAGAGCGCTGACCTTCGCCTTTGGGATTCTGGCCGGGCGAATTCCCTTTCCTTCCTTGGCTGAATAGCTTTCGTTGCCCCGGCACGAACGGGGCGAACGAGCCCTTTTCGCCTCCCCGGACGATTGAAGGGCCGGATTGAGCGCTGAGGTGGCACTGTGATTTCTCCCGGTCATGTCCATCCCTCGGCTCGAAGCCCTTCCTCGGGTCTCCGGGTCACCTTGGGCTAAATGCGGGACCACCCAGCTGTCTCTCTCGCTCCCTACTCTACGGGCTTTGCTCTACGAAGGCTGGTATCGGTCGTCCGAGTCGGCTCGACCCAGAGCATCCCCCCCCCCCCCGAAAAAAAATCCTGGCTCATGGAATTACGAAGTGTCTTTCTATATGCCTTATATCCGGTCACAGGACACCGAGAGAATTTGTCATTTGGGGAAACGATTATGTTTTACAACACTTAGGAGAAGGCGAAGTATCTGGCCGCGTTAAAATGCGTCCCCGGTTCTTGAGTCGGCAGAAAAAGCTATGCCGGCAGGGAATTGGTGGCTCTAGTGGTCATTCCCTAGTTTGTTTCATGGGTAAGGTAGGGCCTCCTGAATGGGACTGTCCTGTCTATTTTAATGTAGAGCAAGTTAAGAAAACCAATAGGTGGACTCCTCTTGCTTCATTTCCTGTTTTGCCTCCCCTGCCTGTAGGGAAAAACAATCGCCGAGCACTTTCCTTAACGGAGAGGAGCAGGATTGTGCAAGTGTAGGTGAGGGTTTTAAAAGGTGAGTTTCACACCTATTAAAGTTAGAGCCCTGCCAATTACCAGGCCCTAGGCATGGGAATATTTTGAACCTGTGTAAAGTTTCAGTCAAATCAATTCTAAAGGTAAGTAAGGCTTGAAAAGAGCACACTACACCTGTGCCCAAAAATAGCTTAGCTGGCAGGTCACAGGTGCGAGGTAAAGGCTCACAAGCAAAGCAGGAGGGAATTCTTCTGGCACTCCTGGCTCACAGCAGCCTCTCTTCTTGCCTGGGGCTTGTTATCAGACCATGTCTGAAGATGGGCTCCTGAAAGATCAAGCCAAGAGACCAGAGACAGGGCTGATGGAAGCATAAGAATGAAAGAATTAGTACCGTTCTGGAAAAGATGATAAGCCCCCTAAGAAGGAATTGGAACTGTTTGAAAAGGTTGTAAATGTGGGAATTGGGTGAGGAGGACCGGGAAGCCAAGGGCAAATTGATATGAAAAAAAAGAGTATCATGAGAAAAGGTAAATGTCCTGTATAAAGGTGCCCAGGTGATTTTGTAAATTGAGCATTCCCAGCAACTTTAAGTGCGCGGAACAGGAAGACAGGAATAGCCAATGAGAACATGAATATTCGACAATCTCCAAGCAATGCCACTTTTTCCTTTGGTGATTGCTTTGGATTTTTGGCCTTGGTTCCAAGCAATGGGGAGGAGCAGGGAAGCCTTCCTATCCCAGAGCAAATAAGGGAAAGATCTGATGCAATAATAGTAAGCTAAAAGAATGCTGCAGCACGTTGGTATCACAATGCTTCCATGTTCTTTTTGTCTTCTGATGTGAGGAGCCTGGAACACAGAAGGGGCTGGCTGTCAGACATTTCCACTCTTTCAACCCTCCCCATATGAAACTTGTGGTGATAAAACAACAACAAAGTTGTGATTAAAATGATTTTATGTGCGAAACAGACATTGTGTTCTCTCAAAGTTCTGTTTTGTAAACACAGATCTAACTTTTTTAAAAAGAGGATTACATTAGTGTATATAAAGATCTTGTATGAGATCCCACAAATGCTTGGAAAGAATCTGTCACATGTACAGATGCCGTCACAGAAGTCAGGTGTCCAGTCTCTTTGCAAGCCAAAATAAAATTAGGAGACAGGATAAAGAAAGGGGGCAAGGTTACAGCAGGATTAGGTAACTCATAAGAGCTGGGCAGATCTTAGCTTTAACAAATTTGTCCAAGCACATTGTCATTGAAGTTTTCCATGTAGTGCCTATAGCAAAAAACAGAGTTGAGAAAAATAAGAAAACACAACTTTAAAATTGGAATAATTAAGTATGATTTTAAGCTGCTTCATCTGTGGTCTGGGAATGAAAGGAAGACAGCATCATGAGGACAAGTAATTTTTTTACAATATATATTTATGCTGTAGTTAAGAGGACATGAGGATGAGCCCTTTGTTAAACAGATGCCAAATTATGTTTATATGAACACCCCCACACCCTCATACTACTATAAAAAGTACTCCCATTGCAGCCAAAGAATATTTAACTTACGTTTAACAAAAAAGTAGGCCTTTTCTATTAGGTGTTGTGTTTTCAAGTCTTTATTGTGTTATTCAAGCAAATATAGCAATTTAGTTACTCATCCGGTCATTTTAGAATAAAGGAATATAATGCCATAGGAACAATTCTGGAAGGTTTTTAAAATTGGCCTGTTTTGACATACAAATAGCAGCCTATTTAAAATAAAATGTATGAACATAGCTCCCATTGCTGAATTACTGTCACTTCAGGATTTTTCATGGTTCAAGAATCATTTTGCTTAATTTGTAACATTGAATAAATATTCAAATTATTTCAACTTTTTGTTAGGATTTCTATGCTGGTTTATTATAAGCACTGATGAACCTTTTAAAAATAGTTCTGTTTGGTGTAGTGATAATGGAGCATATTGGGAGGAGAATAATTCACTCCCATTATTTCATTGATTCATTAGTTAATAATTAAGAATAGATTCTGCTTCTTTTGTGCATATTTTAACCTTTGTTAAGAGCATTATTTGTCACCGTGATATCCTGAGCTTTTTAAAATAATGAATAATCATAGAGCTGAATTTAAAATTGATATATGAAGTGCTTTTTGTTAAATTATATGCAAGGTTGTAATAATTTATAATCAAGTCTAATAGAATAGTTCTGTAAGTACATTCTAGAAAGTAAATACCATAGACAAATTATATTTTAATCATACATACAATACATTAATCTTACATATTCTTTCATTTCTATTTCTCCTCCATAGAATTAGATCTATTACTTTAGGAATCTCTGTTTTTATATATGTAAAATGCATGCATGCTATTGGTGTGTGTGTGTGTGTGTGTGTCTGTCTGTCTGTCTGTCTGTCTGTCTTTGGAATTGTTGTTTCTCTCAATCCTCCCCTAATTGTATGAATGCAATAAGAGGTTTTATCATAGTTTTAACAATTTAATATGCTGCAGCCTTTATCTTATGAAGATGAACAACCTGATAACATTGTATTTTCATTTTTATAGTTAAGGAATTAAAGCTAAAAGAGCAAGTTGCCTGGGGCCTCCTAGTAGTTTTGTGGAAGAGTTGGGTCCTAATGTGGATTGTCTGTTCTCAAAAAGAGTGGGGTTTATTAGGCAATGCCATTTTCTAATAGAGGAAAGACGAGTTATATAGTTTGAGGTTACTTACAAATGTTCAGTGTTTTGGGCATGTGTGTGTGTGTTTGGTTTGATACAGTTCTATATGTTAGAGAAGCCGATCAAGTACTTTCATGTAAAAACTGCCATACTGAATTAGACAAAGGTGTTTTTAATACAGATTTTTATTCCAACTATTAGTTCTAACTTGAGACCTACAATTTGTATTCCTTGGTAGTTGAAGTCTCTTGATAATTAAGTGAAATACTATCTTGGTTATTAAATATCAATGATGACAGCTAACTTACAGACACTGAGTAGTATAGAGTTGCTTTGTCATAAAAATATTAGAACTCAAAATAATGATTTACAAGTCAATAGTGTCCTTGTATAATAAAGACAGATACCAGCCTCTGTCCTGAGGTATATAAACGGAAAATTCTCTGTTACTGTACTTAGGTTATCAAAAAAAAATAATAATCAATAAATGATACTTTGGTGTTTGTTGAAGTGAATGTACCTCTTGCTTAATTGATAATGGGGTAAGGAGTAATATTTTCAGGGATTTCCCTATGGACTCAGTTTGTATTTGCAGCTGTTTCAGTGTTGATCTTGTTTCAGAACAGCTAATTAGACTTTACCTTTTTTACTCTTAATTCCTGCTTCACCTGCTCACACAAACTAATTTTCATACTATTTTCTTCTTCCTCCGCCTCAAGACTTCTCTTCTAAACCCGCTCTCAGAGACCTATTGCAATAGGAGTCGTTGGGGAAAAGAATGCTAAATAATCTCATTGTGGTACAAAAGTTCACAGCAGACAATTCAATTTTCTCAGTTAAGATGCTGAACTTCCTGGTTGTACAGGTGATAAGTCTGTCAACAATTGACTTCTTGTGTACTTTACGTCTCTTTTCTCCAGGTTTTAACTACAGCAAATGTTAGAGTAATCCTTGGAAACTGTTTAGTATATTTCAAGGTAAAAAAAACTACTTTAGTAATCATAGGGATACTAAATCAGTAGAGATAAATTAAACGTAGGCTAAATCGGTACAAATACATTAACAGCAGACTAGGAAACACTGTGAACTTTGGATTTTTAGAAGATTTTGCAGTCTCATCAAAAGATGTGACACATTGGGTTGTTATGCAATAAAAAATCCAACTCATGGCTGATTTATTATTTCTTCATTTTAATTTTTAAATGAAGTTAGCATTTTTCACTACAACAGAAAATGACCAAGAAAATTTAGGAACTTGGATTGTAGTCTTTTCATTAACAGTCTGAAACTAG